AGTGAACAGTACTCTTACTTTAGGTATGGGTTTATGTCTGGTGTTTCTCGGGAAAACAACTGGGTTAGACAAGCAAAATTGTAGCCACGGATGCTTTGGGTAATGATTGTCAAAGGAGGCTTGAGAGATGGTGTGTACAATGGCCCATGTGTCACAACAAGAGGCAAGGCACTCTAACTGTGTCGCTGAGTATGGAGTTATGATAATAGAGGGCGCTATTCCAAAGGTTTTGATTGCCACCTTGATTCCCTTGAGGATTAAGTCCGCTATAGACTGTGGGTACCAAATCAAGTTTTTCCTGGTGAATGAGCTAAATACACCCACAGAAGGGGTCCCTCTTGCCAGAGCACGCCTGTGGGGCTATGATTGCTGGGAAGCGTAATAAAGGAAAGAGGCTTCTGATAATTTATTCTATCCACTTGAGCAAGTTCTAAACGGAATTGGACGAGTTCCAATGCCCTTCTTGCCTGATCAGTAAGTGAGCGGGGTGATGTTAGATCTGGGTCACCTCTCAGTATAGCATAGAGAGGTTGGAGCTCTTCATCAGTAAGCTTTAGGTAGGGTTGCACCCAATTTATATCACCAAGCAGTTTCTGGAAATCATTAAGATTTTTTAGGTGATCTGTCCTTATAACTATTTTCAAGGGTCTGGCCAGGGTGCTTTCTAATCTCATTCCTAAATAACTCTTGGCACTAGTCTTCTGGATTTTTTCTGGGGCTATAGCCAGGCCCCATTTTTGGAAGTGCAACTGCAAGAAACAGACCTTGCTCTAGCTCCCTGCTGCTCTCATGACACAAAAGGATGTCATCCATATAATGATAGATGATCATGTTAGGAAACTTTCCTCTGACAACTGACAAAGCCTTACTCACATATAGTTGACACATAGTGGGACTATTGGCCATTCCCTGCGGTAATACTCTCCATTCATAGCACTCATCTGGGCAGTCATGGTTAATGGCAGGTATGGTCTTCAGGGTGAAGGGGGATAGAAAAGAAACAGTCTTTGATATCCACAACTATCGTTTTCCAATCCTTAGGCAGGGCCATGGGCAGTGGCAAACCCAGTTGTATTGAGCCCATAAGCACCATCTGCTTATTTACAGCCCTAAGGTCATGTAAAAGCCTCCACTTCCCTGTTTTCTTTCTTATCACAAAAATAGGTGTGTTCCAGGGGGAGGTAGAGGCCTGAATATGCTTGGCAGCAAGCTGCTCCTGTACTAAAGTGTGGGCTGCTTCCTTCTTCTCTTTAGTAAGGGGCCACTGAGGAACCCACACAGGATTCTCAGATCGCCACTGAATCTTTATTTGCTGTTCTCCTTCAGTGGCCCCGAGGAAAAACCCAGCCCAGGCCCTCCAAATCGACTGGGTGTAATGTTAGACAAAGGAATGGACTTTTCTCAACCCGACAAGTTCTTCCCAAGTCCACCTGTCCCGGGGTAGCCCTGTCTTTTCAGAGTGCAGTTAGACTGTTCGCTGTAGAAAGGTTCCGTGGTCAATTTGAGATTCATTTGGGTTAGTACATTTCTTCCCCAGAGGGACACGGGTATGTTTAGCAGGAAGGGTTGAATTATCCCCTCGTGCCCTTCTTGGTCCATCCAAGACAGTGAAGCAGCACTACATAGGGGCGCTTGGGCTATCCCGAGTCCTCTTAAGGTTTGTGCAGCTCAATTTAAAGGCCATTCCTTTGGCCATTCATCTTCCTTTATGATACTACGGTCTGCTCCTGTGTCCAGCAATCCTGAGAAATGCCTACCTCTGATCTCTAAGGTGTGC